CTATGGGAGAATTTGGTATTTATATATCTAGTACCTAGGTGTTTACTGGTTATTATACCTATTTACTTCTTTCCTTTAATTTTATTTTTGTTTCCCCAGACGGTCTATTACAGCAACACTGAGCGGTCTGCCGGGCGTGGGCGTGGGCGTGGGCGGGCCGGGAGAGGACCTCTCCATAGGGTCTGCAGGCTCGCTGGCCAGGCACGCCTACCAGCCTGCGGAGTGGAACTCTGTACATTCCGGTAATTCTGACTTGTCTTTTCATCATCTTGCCCTTGTCAACAAAGGGTCGGCACAGTATGTATTGCTTACATATATTTCTATCAGCTATATCTGAATCCATCCGTACTTTGGTCTTCCTCTACCTTTGTAGTCTCTATCCATGTGTTCTACATGATTTATTCATTACTAGCTCGCTCCCGCCACTTTGTCCGAGTGGAATTAAAAAAACATAAGTGAGTGGCCTAATTTTTTTCCATTCTACAAATGTGTCGAATTCCGTCAAGATTCGTACAGTCGTTTAGGCTACATATTGTCAGAAACATCCATCCATCTAAACTTTCGCATTAAAATAGTAAAATTTTACTTTTTCACTAATTTACAGATATTCTATATGTGTGTATTATTTTGGTTTCCAGGCAGCTCAACGATAACCTCGGATGAAGAGGGCGAGGTTGAGGAGTCAGGGTACGCGTCGCTGGAGAGGTTCCTGATCGCGTGGGGTCTGGCGCAGTACGTGCACAAGTTCAAGGACGAGCAGATAGACCTGGACGCCCTGATGCTGCTGACAGAGAGCGACATGAAGTCCCTCGGCCTGCCCCTGGGGCCCTACAGAAAGCTGGTCACCGCAGTACAGGAGAGGAAGCAGGCCCTATCACATCCAGGACCAATTATAGACACGGCTATATAATCTTTTAAATACAGTATTGTGTGAAATGTCATTTTTATTGAAATAATGGACGCTATAGGCCTCAACATAATTTAGATAGTTTCAAATAAATTTTATCTTAAACATATGTCAACCCTTTAATACTGTCTAGCGTTGGGTGCGAATTTTTATCAAAAATGCGCTCAAAATAAATAAGTAAATACTAGAAGCAGTGTGAGATATTTTTATTGTGAAACATAACCATGTAGACGTATCAATCAGTGGTGGTTAAAATTAAAACACGTGTTTAAATAAACTGTGTTTTACGATATTTTGGGGTAATAAAGCATTTTTTTAATATTGTATAATGTATTTGCCACATTATGTTATTGATTATGAAATAAGTGATTGAATAGAATATTAGTAACGTTTTCCGCCAAGATTTAAATGCCTCTTGAGATGTGATACTTTTTAAATATAAATGATTCCATCCAGTGTCGCCATATTTAAATATTTTGTACAGATTTAATAAAGGTTTTTATATTTCACTTTGTCAGTCTTCATTTTTGTTTAATAAAAACAAAAAGATATTTTACAATTTTTATTTTAGCAATTTTAAATACAAATTCGAATCGAAAATATGGTAAAAAAACACCTCACAATGCACAAATATATAATGAATACATTTACAAAACCTAAAATAACTATTCCGTCTAAAGCGTAAGTATTGAACAAAGATTCAGCAAACAGCTCGATGTAAGGACAGAACTAAATCCTCAGTCAGTGTACTAAGACAATACAGAATTATCAGAATATAATACAAATGATGTTCACTACATCTTTACTACCTACGTCTTTAGCAAATAGATATGACAATCGATTATAAAATACATATTTAACTAAACTAAACTACTTTAGGATATGTATATTCTAAATAATAAAGAATAGAGTGAGCATTTATTATCCGAAAGGCACTAAATCCGAATTACATTCCACAATCACCCGTTACATTCATATGTGAGATATCTTTATATCTTAACAAACGTCTTAAAACCTATATATTTTTGTTCCTCGATACACTTATGGCGGAGTCGAGTGCGACTCGACCTACTCCTAAATTATTTTAAGTCACCCTTCGCAATAACTTCGATACGTCTCGTACTAAAATCTAACACATTCTGGGAAAATATTTTGTTCGAAATCGAATACGGATCTAAAAGTATAAAAGTCCGGTGCTGTTAAGAGTTTCGTAAAGCCGTGCCTCAGAGGTCCGAGCGAGGGTCCCTTTAAAAAGTCCTTCGAGAACATTCGAGAAGCGTTTCAAACGGATCCTCGCCGACCTTTATAAAATGGTGCCAATGCAAGTATTCGTCGTTCAACCAGATTCGGGTTCGCCCATACGAAAGCAGTGTATGATTGTTTTGCAAAGCGAAAGACGAGTTTGATATGGGCTTCATACACTGTACGGCGTTCGATCGAAACTCATAACATGCAACAACCGCGCGTTTAATACATGAACGCAAGGAAAAGATTGTTGGATTTCGATGTCTTATAGGCCCTGTTGCGCTTCCACTTGTAGCGGTTAACTCGGCCGGCGTCATCCTGGTAGTAGGAGT